AGGCGGGGGATGGGGTTGGGGCTTTTTTGAGTTTTTTTATGTTGCTGCTCTCTTATTTTTCTACACTTGTCCAAGGATCTCGTAAAGTAGCTTTAAGACATACTTGTTGTTCTCACCGTTTCCCTCTCATCCGTTTCTAAACGATGTTCACACTCCTCCACTAGCTGATTCTGTCTTTTTACTGAGCTGTACGTACCCTTTGTTTTAAAATGAAATGGTTATTTGAAATCGGTTGGAGAAAAATAACTGAAATGCCGTATGTTCTTAGGCTGCCCTGAGACGCACAGATGTCATTCTGGAAGTAGGCCCGGGAACTGGCAACCTGACTGTAAAGTTGTTAGAAAAAGTAAAAAAAGTAAGTACGAATTTCAGCCCTGCCTTCCCGAGCTCAACCACATTGTGGCTTAGACTGTGGCGAACAGAAGGATCTTCATCTGCTTGATTCAAATAAGTAGAATTACCCTATGGATGTTTTTCTTAAGATTTGCATAATTGAGGTTTTAGCTGTTCATGTAAACCTTGTATGGTTTTATCAAACTATATTGCTGTTATCCATTTATGTGGTAAGGTTTGCCTGTTTTGGGGGAGGGAGGAAGGTGCATAGCGTAATAGGGAATTTTTAAGAATTATTTGGACCTGTAGCAATAGACACAAGGTTTTTTTGCAGTTGACGTTTTAATCTCAGTTAGCCAGAGTTGTCTCATGTTGCAAATATATACTTTGTTTTCAGGTTATTGCTTGTGAAATTGACCCTAGACTTGTTGGTGAACTGCAGAAGAGGGTCCAGGGAACGTAAGTATTAACTGTGGAAACAGCGAGCACTTAAAGCAGTGGAGCTGCTTTAGCAAAAGCTTTGGCAACATGCTTCTCTGAGGATAACCACAGTGTGTGTGTTCTCCTAGATGTCTGGCAAACAAACTTGAAATCAAGGTTGGAGATATCTTGAAAACAGACTTACCATTTTTTGATGCATGTGTGGCTAACTTGCCTTACCAGGTATGTCCTAAACAACATGGAAAAACTTTTTTATTTTAAATGGTAATTGTCTGGAAATTATACTAATGCTATTACTCTTTTCCTCAGATTTCTTCACCTTTTGTTTTCAAGTTGTTGCTTCATAGACCTTTTTTCAGGTATGTGGAAGAACAGAGGTCTGTATTGCCTGATGGAGGGTGGGGGGGGAAGCTTTAAAAATATTCCCAAATAAAGGGTTTTTTAGTTCTTAAAATACCAGTTTGATGGATCAGAGCCACACCAGAATTTTTGTGTAATATAAAACCTGCTAGTGCCTGGTGATTAGTTTATGCCAATGAATTAAGCACGAGGAGAAAATTTAGTCTTGGCATCAGTGAGTGTCTAGCTGATGAAAAGAGGAGTTGCACCTCTTTACTTTAATACTATAACTACTTGTTACTCCAGGGATAAGTAGGGCATCGTAGCATTTCAGATACCTTCCTGCCTGAGAAATGAAGAGTGGAAAGGGCAGGATTGAAGCCAAGAGACTTCCTGTTGTCTGGTCGAAAAATATAACTGCCCAGGTACCTCTCTGTGTTGTTCAGTGCATCAGCAGTTCTTGATTTCTCTCACTGAAGCACTGTTAGTGAAGTTACTGGTCCATTTGTGAAGCTAGAGAGTTTGGATTTGAAGGACTCATGGCAGACTTATCCAAAATGATTTGGTACAGCCAGGCACAAAACTCTGAGACTAGTCTCTGTCTCTTTGATCCTGATCCGTTCAGCAGTATGAAGAGTCATATCCTGTTGCAGCTTTGAGGAGATTTAATTGGTTTCACCAAGTTTTGTAGTTTTGGGTGGTTTTTTTTAACACACTCCGAGATAGTGAAGGCAGAGTTTGTTTATGACAAACTTTTATTGCTTCTAGGTGCAGATTCCATGTTTTCCATGTGTGTTAGTTGCCTTTTGATGGAAAACTTGATTACTTAGAATTTGTTTTCTCATTTCTGTTATTCTCAGGTGTGCAATACTTATGTTTCAAAGGGAATTTGCGCTTCGTTTGGTTGCAAAACCAGGAACTAAACTATACTGCAGACTCTCTATTAATACTCAGTTATTAGCTCGAGTGGACCATCTGATGAAGGTGCGTTGTTCTGCATTGGCTAACAGAGCTATCAAAGATGGAATAATGTTTTTAGGAATGTGAGGATTTGCTGATTATTCGTACAGCTGCCTGACTTCTCTGTAACAGGTTGGAAAGAACAACTTCAGGCCTCCTCCCAAAGTTGAATCCAGTGTTGTCAGAATAGAGCCAAAGAATCCACCACCACCTATCAATTTCCAGGTGAGCATGGTCTACTCTTACAAGGCAGCATACTAGTGATACTTCATTTAATTTTTCTTTTCACTTACTACTCAGTTCCATTTTTATCTACCAAGTATCAGCTGTTCATTGGCACTTACTTAATTCCAAAATCCTTACCCGTCTATTGATCAGGCTTGTGTTAGGATATTACTTGAATGCGCCACCGTCAATTTGGGCGCAGCTTTGTTTACAGTATTTCTGACGAGACTGAGGTACCATCTCCATGTCAGTTGGAAAGGGAACAACGTCCCTTTCTTCGTGGTTTGAGTCTCCCAGAGACTTCTGGATGGTGATTTTGTTGCTTATGATCAAAGGAGTATCTATGAGAAGTCTTATCTTCAGATGAGTGTGTATAATCTTAGAAGACAGATGTTACAGGTTAGTAGTCTTAATTTTTAAAACTCTTTCATCTTCAAGAGCATTTCAGCCTCGCACAAAAAAGAACAGTTCAAAGGGTTTTGTGGGTGAAGTATTTTCTTCTCCATTTGTATTGCTTTTTCCAAGACAGGACTGGTTTTGTATTGTTTAGAAAGATATTTTCCTGAAAGATTTTTCTTACTGTTCAGTGTTGTTGTGAAATTGTCACTAGTGACTGTTCTTGTTTGCAGTAGCTGTATTTTCCTTTCTGTAAATTCTGAAATATAATTTCAGGAGTGGGATGGTCTGGTGAGGATAGCCTTTGTTAGGAAAAACAAGACACTCTCCGCAGCATTTAAGTAAGTAACACTCCTCCTACAGGAAATCTTTCCAAAGTTTGGGAGCCCATCCAGTTAACCATTTATTTTATGCAAATGCATAGCAGTGTTACATGCATGGCAGCTCAGCCTGGGATAAACCATGATGGGACGATTTATGCTGAGATCACAAGCTTTTTCTTTTAGAGGAAAACTAGGCAGCTGTTTAAAAATAACAGCTCTGTGTCATTGTTACAGTTTTTTAGAGTAAAGATTAACAACCAGTAAAGTGAAAAAAAAATAGTTAAGGCTCAATTTTCAGTCTAAACTTGTATTTCTTTCAGGTCAAGTGCTGTGGAGCAGCTGCTGGATCATAATTACCGAATTCATTGTTCCTTACATAATACAGTAAGTTCCTTTTTCATATATTAAATTCTATTTGTGTGTACTGTGACCTACATACTGACTTTTGTAAGAGTAAAAAATTAACATTGAAAAGCTTAACATGTTAAAGTTCTTCCGAGCGAGTTTGAGGGAGGGAGGAACTTACCTCTTTTCTTATAGAAAAATCTAAAAGGTTCACTAAATTACAGTGAAAAAGCTGAAAGCTGAGTCTGTTATTTATACATTGGCTGTGCATGTCTCAAGGACTTTTACTAATCTATTAAGAATCTAGTAAGAAAACTTTTTGTGTCTGCTTAGCAACACTGTTGTGATTAATTTGTAGTGAGCGAGCTGAGGTATAAAAATTCAGATACAGGAACTGAAGAATACGGTAATCCATACAAGAAAAAAACCAACTTATTCTATCACTTGGATTCTAAAAGCATGAAGAGAATAGATGATTTAAATGAACTTCTTCCATGCTATGAATATCAAATGAATTTGTGTCCTATTTTCCATTGACAGGAAATACCCGAGAACTTCAAAATTGCAGAGAAAATACAGACAGTCCTAAAAAATACAGGTTACTCTGAAAAACGAGCCCGTTCAATGGATATAGATGATTTCATTAGGTATTTTCTTTTCTTTATGCCTTTCTCTTAAGCTTCTTCAAATTCTATCTGCATCTGTACTTGTGTAGAACAGATTAGTATTGGGTTACACAGGAATAGTACTAACTCTTGATTTCCTCTCAATACCAGATATTCCTTGCTTCCAGTCCTGAACATGAAGAAACACCCCCTACATATATATATTTTAACTGCTGCTTACAGTATTGAGAAGCAACTAGCTAAAGATCTGTGTTTCTGGTATTTGTGTACTAGACCCTTCTATGTCTCCTCTTAAAATGGTTTTAATAATGGGATTGGTTATTACAATTCTCCCAGAGTCTTGCACAGCCCTTCTCTGTCTGTGTCAAGGATTAGGCTGTAGTCTATAGCATAGTTTGGAAATTGGAGTAATTAACTGCTGTCTTCTGCCCTTACTTCTAGCCAGTTAATTTAAGTGGCAACATGAATCCTCTCCTATTTTAAGATAAAAGTTTCTAGCTGCTTCTCAGTGTGACAATTAATACAGCTGCTGATCCTCAAAGAAACATAGTAAACCTGGTAGGACACAGTATAACAAACTGCACTGAAAATCTACCTGGATCTCTAAAATGGCAAATTTGCTAGTAACTTAAAGTTTAAGATTTGTAACAATTCAATGCTATTTTTGTATGTTCTTTGCTAGCCAACACATCTTAGAAATGTCTTAAGCTGAAGTATAAATGAGTAGAAATTGTAACACAAATACTTTACTCTTTCAGACTGTTGCATGGCTTCAATTCAGAAGGCATCCATTTCTCATAGGTTCTACTAGAAGAAGGAAAGATGTTCTGTATTTTGTCACCGAAGTCTTACCTAAGCCAGAGTGACTGCAGTAGGACAAGCTCTTCTCACAAAAGCAATGAACAGAACACAGGATGCACTCTCTGGTTCTCAGTAAAACCTCACATGAAATTTTACCACAGATAGTAGGCAAGAAGCTGCCACTCTGTATTTTAAAAGCGATAAATTCTTTCACAGCTCAAGTGACATGCTGGACTTCCCCATGACTGTTTATTTTTACAGTTGGACTCTATGATCTTAAAGGTCTTTTCCAGCCAAAACGATTCTATGATTTTTAAATAAACCCAGTAACATGGATTGATATTGCCATAATGGAAATCTGTGTCCTCTGATCATGGACTTCACCTCAATATATTCTTGCACAATACTCAACAGTACAACCCATCAGCCTGGTCTGGGCAACAAAAAAAAAAAAAGAGTTGTAGTCATTTTGTTTGGAATTGTTTGTTTGTTAGTGTGTTTGTTTTAAAGTGTACTTAAACCCTTTTGATTTGAAATGCCAGTCTCTTCCATTTGTCCTCTGATACCTCATAAGCATAGACAGAAGAGGGTTTTTCGTCAACTGTAAATTCAAGCATCTATTTTTATAAGAAAACTTCATCCTAGGGGCAAGGAGGAGTTTTAGCATAGATCAAAGCTTTCAGTGAGTTTCAGAGCAATGCATGTCTGTGTCCTGACAGAAAAACTTACTCAAGTATCTTAATATAGTTTGGATT